GTGTATGTATACACACTCAAATAAATACATATGTGTATGTATACACAAACAAATACATATGTGTATGTATACACACTCAAACAAATACATATGTGTATGTATACACACTCAAACAAATACATATGTGTATGTATACACACTCAAACAAATACATATGTGTATGTATACACACTCAAACACACATCTACTGAATAGGTGTCCTCACCACTGCGGCTGAGTCCTGGTCCCTCAGCCTTGACTTTGCTAGCATCATGAGAAGGATCCACTTTGATCCTGATGGGTGTCATTGGAATAGCCTAAGCAACAAACAGAAGCAATACTGTGTTCAAACACACATTTTAGCAAACAGATTACACTCAATCTCCGATCCTACACGTGCACACTCTGCTCTCATTCACGCTGCAGGATTCACACCCACCTGGTCAGCAAACAGGACCATGATGGTGTAGCTGCCTGCTCCAGGAGGCGTGTACTTGACAGTGAACGTGTCGTTGTCATTCCGAATTATGTCAAAGTCGATGTCGGCCTCTGCGGGTCCCACCACTCCGGGGGCACACTTGATTCCTATACTGATGTCACCTGAGGGCAGGAGACAAAAGTCATCATGACACACAAATGATTTCTGATGCTTTACAGCCATTCAGTGCAGCCATTTTGCCCTTTATTGTTGTATTTCAATTAATGAGTTAAGGGGAGATAACTAAAATAAATTATAAAAAATGTTAAGCTTTGGTCACTTGGGGCAGTGGAAGCAGATAACACACAACAATGACATATTATAATCTTATACAGTTTTTAAAGGGATAGTTCAGATGTTTAGAAGTGTGATTGTATGAGGTTCTTTTCCATACTCGGTGTATTACTACAGGAGATGGAGTTTGGAGAAACGGACCAGCACAGGAGCAAAGTAATGTACTGCTGTGATGTATTTTAGACACCTAAAATAATATTTTCACCGCTCTACCTTGTTGTCAGACAGCCCTCTCTGACAGGAAACTGAAACTGTTATATCCATCAGTGCTCTCACCCAAACCACCAGACTTCATTGAAGGAAACTGTTTCTACAAACTCCATCTACTGTTGGTAATACACGGACTATGGAGAAGAACCTCGTACAACCACACTTTAAAGACATCCAAACTATTCCTTTAAGGCAACTTATTCGCATCAAATGCCATTTACACATCCACAAGACACAGGGCAACATTAGCGTTCATCTGGAGTCCTGTCTCTGTTCTGAGGGAATTATCTGGCCTCCTAGCTGCTGAATGCTCCACTTTCTGCACTAGCTAGTTGCTAACATTGGCTACAGCATCTGTCATTTGGTGCAGGGCAGGTAGGTACACTGGGCTATGTTCTAGAACAGTTAGAGAGGAAATTATAGTCTGGAAAACTGAAACAATGTGCTGAAGGACGCTTGCTCTGTAAAGCTGAAAATAACTGCAGAGTTGAATGATGGTTATCTATAGTTTGTAACTACAAGTAACCCCTTTAACATTACACACAGGAATTAGATATTTTTGATGATACACATTGCAGATCTCCTGACCAAGCTACTTACATGGTTTATAACATCCATTATTCAGTGGCAGAAAATACTGCTGTGATTTATTGTGTGAAAGGATGCAACAGTTTTTAGTGGCTCTACCTTGCCCAGCCTCTGCACAGTCAACAGTGAAGTATGTTGGCTCGAAGGCCTTGAGGCCGGTCTTGGCCACCCCTGGTCCTGAGACCTTCACCTTGTTTGGATGACAGCCTGCTCCGATATTCATCTGTGATAAAAAACAACAACACAACAGCTTAAGAGGCTTTCCTGTGATACAATGTCCTTTGTGAAACCTCTCTCTCTCGGCGTACTCACTCTGAATGGGCTGTCAGGGATGTTGACTCCTCCCCAGGAGACCATGGCGGTGTGTTTTACTGGTTTACGAGGGGTGTAAGTACAGGCGTATGTGCCGTTGCCATTGTCCTTAACCTGTACATCCACAGGAGAACCTTCACCGTCCTGTGCAGATGTTGAAAATTAAATGAGACGAGTGGAATGAAAATGTGTTCGGAACATGAAGGCCGAGGTGTTTGAGGGGCTGCAGTACATTTCTGTTCATATACTGGAACACACACACACACACACACACACACACACACACACACACACACACACACACACACACACACACACACACACACACACACACACACACACACACCTGAGCCGCAATCTTCAGAGGAGCCTTTCCTCCTTGCTTGGCATCGACTGTGAACTCAGTGGGCTTTCCAACAGCCAAACCGCTGCTTTGAAGGCCTGGACCAAACGCCTTAACCTGGAGTCAACACATTCACGGAGCTTCAGGAAAACAGTTCTACATTTGAAGGGCTATGACATAAAACGATTTCAACATGAAAATGAATAACAGATCATTCAGTTGTACATCTGTTTTGCAGCTGCACAACAATGAAATGCACTTGTAAAGCTGTCATAAGAAATGAATAAATGACTCAAATAATAAATAAATAAAATGACAAAGAAAGAAATGTATCAAATAAATGTGTAGGTTCATTTGGAAATAAATAAATATGCACAAAATAAATAAACATGAACATATTTATTTTGTATGCATTTATTTCATATTTAATTATTTCCCAATTCATTATTTTCTGTTTACATTTATTTCTATTTTTATTTATTTCTGTATTTTTTCCACTTATGTTAATTAAAGGGGTGTGGTTCTTGATGGTAAAAAAATGAATCCAAAATAAGTAATTTGTCAAATAAATCTATATTTTTTAAATATATTTTTCTATTTCTGTGCATATTTATTTATTTTCAAATGAACCTCCACATGTATTTCATAACTGAGGCTTTTATTTGTTCCAGTACTTTCTTTATTATTTAATTTATTTATTCATTCATTGAGTAATTTATTTATTATAATGGCAGCTTTAGTCCTCCATACATGACCCTGGGTGTGCGTATACCTTGTCGGGGTAGAAGTCTTTGGCTGGTGGGTTGACAATCTCAGCCATGAAAGGAGAGTGTTGGATGTCTTCGCTGTTGCAAAGCACATGCACTGCATACTCCCCAGGCTCTGTGGGCCAGTAGCGCACGTCACAGGATCCATCGCCCTTGTCGTCACATTCGATCTTGGCCTGAGACGGACCTTCCACAGAGAAGCCTGAACAGGGAAACAACAAACACAGTGAGCTTAGAAGAGCTGTCAGTGAGTAGCTGAAGGTAAAACTTTGGAAACTTACGACACATGCTTTCAGGATGCTTTTACAGTGCGTGTTGTCTCTGCAGTCTCTCCAGATTACTCACCCAGTGTACCCACGTTGTCTCCAACAGCCTCCACCACAAAATCAGCAGATTTGCCAACAATGCCGCACTCCAGCCCCGGACCCCAGGCCCTCACCCTCTGCTGGCCGGCCTCAGCGCCAATCTTGACCTCAATGGGACTAAACGGAGCAGAGCGATCAGTCACAGCGACAAGTCAATGTAGTTCAATGTGGCACTTCTTTCCATGCGAGTGTGTGTGTGTGTGCGTGTGTGTGTGTGTGTGTGTGTACCTGCGGGGGATGTGCTGTCCTCCCCAGGTGATGGTGATTGTATATGTTCCAGGTGTGGTAGGGTAATACTCAAAACCGTACACACCATCTCCAAGATCTTTCCTTTTACACGGCTCCTCCAGTCCCTCTGCAAACACAGAGATGATAATCAGTATGCCCCTTTTTTTTTTTTAATCTTCACCAAATGTTTCATCACAACTGATGTGATCCCATCGCAAAAAAGATCTAGTTTTCAAGCTAGATGTGATTCATTCTAAAACCCCTTTTAGTTGTTTTTTTTCCAGAATGAAGCAGAGGGACACATCTAGCGACTTTCTTTGGGCAGACATTAGCTACTCTGCCTTGAAGAAAGTCATCCTGTTGACTTCGTTTGACTACATTTTGTGAAATTCCATCTTTTATACTTTTATGGACACATATGGAAATTAGCACACAATAAGCGACCTCTAGGCAGTCTTTGAGCAAGCTACAGCTACTTTCCATTGATAACAGTTAGCAACGGTTACGGCTAACTTAGCAAACAGTGGCTTATTTAAATAGCAGGCAGTGTAGGGAATATTTTGCATTCATTTGGAATCTTGTTTCTGGCTCCCTGATGCAATTCCCATATTCCCTCTTCTTACAGCTCCGCTTTGGTCTCCACCAACTCCTGAACAAAAACATCTGGCTCTTTGGCAGCTAAACGCTCCACTATGTTCTAAAGTGATGTGTTTCCATCAACGGAGTGAAAACAAGACTGGTGTTTGCAGTGCAACTCACTGGGCCCCTTGATGGTGACTTTGAGCTCCCCGGTGCCAGCTCCTTTGGTGTAAACCTGGAAGTCGGCCGTCTCCTTCACCCTCAGGCCCTTCGGCTGCAGACCACGACCCTTAGCTTTGCAGAGGCTGGGGTTGCATGCTGTGGAGAGCAAAACACAATGAAAGAGTGAGAGAGAGAAACAGAGAGACAGCTATTCTGACTCCAACAACATGACTATGTGTGAGTTCAGTGGTTTCAGTGAGGAGAAGAGAAAAGATTGTTTAAGAAGAACGAAGGGTTGCTGGAAAGCTTACCACCCTGCACACCCCTCCTGCCACCCCCCACCCATCTATCTTATCCCACAGAGTGAATTCACAGAATGAGCCTTTATCCTCACACAGGAAGTAGAGTGGAGTGTCCTCGATGTCTCCTGATTAAAAGTGCATAAAATAGGAGCTGCTGAGTCACAGCTAAATGCCATGCAGGAAGCAAAGGAAACGCCATAGGAAGAGAGGCCACTACAGGGCACCCAGATAAGGTCCAGGAAGTGGACTACTTGGCACTCTAAGAGGAAGAATGCAGTTATATGTCATTATATCAAAACCTATTTTGATATCAGCAGGTGACGTGTGCAGGTCTGGTGTAATCGGTAGAACCACAAGCACAAACAATTATTCATTATAAACAGTTATACTTGAATACTTTCATATGGTGATTTATAACCTGTATATTCCAATAATAGAGAGGTTTGTTGCACATAACCGCTATTGTTCATCTCTTTAACCCCCCCGTCTTTAGACGGGGGGGGTTGTAGGTGCAATTAACTCACATGTAAACCTATTTTTTCAAACTGTTATTAAGTCATGAATACTTTCAAACAGAACGTGAATATTCCTTGGCGAATAAGAAACAATGTATTTTTTTTGGAACAAGGCTGCTGTTTCTGAGCCATCGCACCAAGAATAAAGGCATCAACCAATCACATTTGAGTTGCACCTATATTTATGAAGCAACACTAGCTCCATAGTCGGAACAAGGGAGACAAACTTTATTACTCTTCATTACAACCTTGACAACGACAGCGCAGACCAGATCCACTCCTTCCGTTCTTACCTTTCACAATAAAAGCCCTAGACATAATATCTGCAAGCGAGAATTTTGCAATACACCAATGTGAAAGTCCTTAAGAAGGCACTTTTCATGAAGCGCTTATAGGTTATAAATAATTGTTTTATTAATGGTTAATACATTATTAACTATTGCTTTCTAGGTTATAAGCCATTTATAAGAACAACCCACCAAATTGTGAAAGATTATTTGATTAATTATGTTTAAAGAAGAGCTGCAGATAATGTGGACCAAAGTTCTTATAAATTGCATATGAGCTATGAAGCATCTTCAAATGATTTATGAAACTATTAGTTACACATTTTAAGACCTTGTTGTTAATTAAATGTTTTGATATCACCGATATTCCAGCGTTATCTTATATTAATGAAGCATTCTGTGCTTTTAATACAGCTTGTCTGGGATGGACACAACCAATGCAACTTGGTTGTGTCATCCGTCAGAGAGGAAAAGCTTTTTACAACCCTCCCACAAATCTGTTATTTTAATTCCGAGAAATCCAGAATCATTGTGCTAAAAGCTGTATTTTTAACAATGCTACAACTGTGTCTATGTGTAAACCTACTAGTGAGCTGCAAGAAATTAAGCATTCGTTAGCGGGTGGAACTCTTCCATCAAGATCTGAGAATGTGTTTGTGAGGTCCTCCGTCAGCCATGTCCTGATGGACGGGACGGCTGAGTCATTTAGAGTTTACAGACAGAGGACACACGCCACACACATACAGCAGGCACATATCTACACGCACACGCGGCGTCATCCAGTCATGCATGCAATCGCACACACACACAGTGGGTACCCAAGAGAGATCCCAGGAAACAGGAAATGACAGCAGAAGGAAGAGGCCGTTCCAGAGAGAGGAGAGATACCAACGGGCCTCTATCAAAGAGAAGGAAGAGAGGACACGACATCCCATACAGTGGCAGGAAAAGACAGGAAAGCATTAGACACAACTGAAGAAAGAACATAAAAAAATAAAATGTATTTAGCCTTTAAGACTGACAGTGAACTAGCTGATAGTTATTAGAGACTGAGATCCTAGACTTTAATGTAATGTTGGTGATTTACAGAAAACATAAAAGCTCTTCCTATCCTAATGATGCTGTAATAGGACTACATGTAAAACTCCTACCCTCTCCCACGGTGACTGTGAAGGGACTCTTGCTGATCTGACCACCAGCGAAGGTGACGTAGATGGTATGCTGGCCCTCCTGGGTGGGTTTGTAGGTGCAGTGGTAGCTACTGTTACCCTTGTCCTCTATGGTGCAAGTCACCACGGTGTTCTTGCCGGCAGGGTCGATGATCATCACCTCCACCTCGCCAACACCGGCGCCTGAGACGGACAGGAGCAGGAGGAGGGAATACAAGAGCAGGAGAAGAATTAAAGCGCACAGTAAGCTCACAGGCTTTCTAACCAGGCGCTAACAGAGCAGCCGGACCTCACTCCCATCGTCCATGTTATTACCTGCTGTGTAGACGTCAAAGTAAGTGATCTTGTTGGCGATGTTTCCAGAGGGCTCGAGGCCTGGTCCCTGGGCCGTGGCCTTGCTGGAGTCTCCCTGAGACTTGCCGATCTCCACCTCGAAGGGGCTCTTAGAGATGTGTTGCCCTGCAAACAGCACTGTCACCTACAGAGCAGAACGGAGAGCGAGCTGAGTGCCTGGAACCCCACGGGTCAAATACTGTTTATCATAGAATTATTACTGACGGATTTAATAGTGAGCAGTATTTGTGTTGTAGCTGGTCAAGTGTAGCAGACATCAAAAACTATGGATGCACCGATACGGATATCAGGCCGATACTGACTCAAACCGCTGGATCTGGTATCTGTGACAGTGGGGCTGATCTATTCAATTCAGTTCTATGATTTTATACCATGTACATTATATACTGCGATTCCTGTTTAAGCTTTGACCAATGTGTTGCTGTAGTAAAAGGTCTACACCTGAATTTTAATTCAATAAAATTATTTCATCAAGTTGCTGGTGTACAACTTATCATTATGATAAATAACAATTCAATTAGTTTATGTCTATGTATTTATTTGTTTTACAAAATTAAGAAAGCAAGTGTAATGTTGCCTTACACATAAGATAATGATCCCAGTCAAAAGTACAGTATTTTAATGTAAAATTTGGTGGAGTAGAAGTAGAAAGTAGCATAAAATGGAAATACTCAAGTACCCAAAACTGTAAATGTACTTTCCATCACCGACTACCAGCATCCATGGCCCACAATGTAAACGGTCCACAAGGCCCCTTAGAGAGTCATATGACACCCATGTAAGAAGAAAGGGATGAAGAAGAATCTCACCTTGTGCATGCCTGTGACTTTAGGGATGTAGAAACATGAGTAGGTGCGGTTCTTATCATTGTTGGCAGTCACTTTAGCCTGGAGGACATGATTCAACACATTAACAACATAGTATGTCATGATGACCAACAAAGTTGAAGTATCTCAGAAGGACCTAACTATAATGGCATATTAGAGCCAATGTAGGGAAAATAATATATATTATGGAGTCAGGGGAGTGGGGTAATATTCAGAGAAAGAGATTCTGAGATTAAATATGGATATTCACTGAGATGAAAGTGGCAAATGTATGACTTTATAATCTAAGAGAATATTGTTCTCGGAACATCACCCCTCTCCTCCAGCTCTGTAATCGATTCATTTTTTACCTACCATGGCCCTAATATGTGTCGTACTAAACCCCAGTGTCTCACCTCCTCTCTGTGTCCTGCAGGGTCCTCCACGTAAACCAGCACCTCTCCCATTCCTGCGCTGATGGTCTCGACGGTGAACAAAGCCTTCTTCATCACAACATTACCGATGGGTTCCACACCTGCAGAGAGGAGCGTTGGGACAGAACGTTAGAATGTATGATCCTGGACTGACCCACACAGGGCTGTAGAATCATACATGTCACATTTAAGGCAGTATCCAGAACAATCTGAAATTCATTCTTACCCCTCGAGTCCAACCTCCTGCACTTGGCTCTAATAAACATGTAAATCCTCCCTGCTCTAAACTGATCTTGCTGCTCAGCTCAATGCAACGGATGTGTGTGTGTGTGTGTGAGTGCGTGTGTGTGTACCTGGCCCATAGGCGCGGGCCTTCTTGGGGTTGAGTTTGGGTCGTAGAGGTGCGCCAGGCTTCAGCTTAGCCTTGGGGAACTGGGACAGGTAAGTCATCACTGAGTGTTCGTCCACATTGGGGTCCACGATCTCTTCAGGAGTTATCACCTAACAGGACGGGACAGGAAGACAAATGTTCTTGTTAGCATGTTTCCTGGTTGAAGGGAAGCTGCGCAGCCTGACGCAGCGCTCCATTAGTTGCCATGGAGACTGTACTACCCACAACAATCGACTGAGCGGTGTTGTGATTTCATGTTAAAACCACATACCAGCCCCTTCCTTGGCTCAGAAAGTACCTGAGACTTTCTCACACGCGACCCAGACGTGATACAGACATGCTGACAGCCCGCAGAGACAGCAGGGGAAGGGACAGAGACGGCTTCTGAGCAGAAACCCAGCCGAAGGCGGAAACTGCAGCGACCACAGAGCCAACTGCCAGCACGCTATGCTGCGCCAGCTGCCAGCGCTGTGCCAACCATGCCAACAAAACACTGTCAGACTTTCACCAGAGCGGCCCTAAGAACCAGACCAGTAAAAGTTCAGTTCTAATCTCCCCGTGTAATGTGGAACGTTTTCACTCTGGACAAACACTACAGGGGATAAAATGTTTGAGTTGATTCTCTACATGACGTCCAGGTGAGCTCACCACCAGACTTCCACATTGTTTCGGTATGTTAATTAGGTTCTGTCCCGTGGAGGAGCAAACTCTCAGTGATTTCAAACCCGTCAAACAAACCTTCTCAGTAGTCCTCTAGTATTAAAGAATAAGGTGGCCTTTTTTTTTTTAAAGATTATTTTCTGGTGATTTTTTGTCTTTATTTAACAGAGGACGGTATAGAAATGGGAGCGACAAAGAGAGGGGTATGACATGTAACCAAGGCCGGTATCATTATCATTATTTAGTGACAGCTGATATAACCTGCCGCCTACCTGAATGTTTTGTAGTCTGCTCTTTGTTAATGAAGATTAGCATTGTAGCTTAGCCAATTCATGTATTTTAACATATCATTTTTCAGATTCACACACGCTCTAGCATGCAGTGGAACGCTGCACCGTAGAGGCCGGCCGTGGTAAGGATCGGCTCTTTATCGGCTTTCCATTGCGATCCATTAAAATACGCCTGGATCCTGAGGATCGGCTCCGGACACATGATATGAATGGTGGAGAGTCACGACCACGAAGCATGGTAAATGAGATGGGGTCCTTGTTTCAAGACGGGTCTGGTGGGTTGCAGATATCGACGCAGACCCCTGATGCACTGAGGACAGTCCATCCCGGTTGACAGTCGGCGGGAGCCCTGTCCCTCCCTGCTCCGCCAGAACTAAACCGATCAACCGACCCAGAGCCGACCGCAACGCACCACCACTGAGGACAGGTGACACGAGGGCCAGCCAGCGGCGGGGAGAGGTCCCAAGAGGGGATCGTCCCACACCCAGCTGAATCTCTCCGGGGCAGACAGAGCACATTCATCATAAAACTGTGGCGGGAAAGATTTCACAGACTGTGGCAGGTCATTAATGGTATTTCTCTTACCTGTGGGATGCCCAGCCAGTCGTCAGCTTGCTGCATGGCCTCGCGGGCGTTGTCCACTGGTTTGGTCTGATCCCACTGATCCCAGTCAGGACACAGACCTGCAGGAAAGAGGAGGTGAGTTGAACATCTCATGACAATATAATGAGATTACAATGACGACAGGACAGGCAGTTCTATCTATTGTATTTAAAGCCATTTAGTTAAACACAATAAACACTGGTATATGTATAGTAAGATAACATTCTGTATCTCTCTCTCACACACACACACACACACACACACACACACACACACACACACACACACACACACACACACACACACACACACACACACACACGCACACACACACACACACACACGCACACGCACACGCACACACGCACACACACACAATGCATTAGAGGTCGCACCAGGAACTGAGTTGCAACACTTGACCCGTGGGTCAGGAAGTGAAGTGCCTTCGTTATAAAGCGATGAAGCAGTATTTCTGTTGGATTGGGGGACGTGAACGTCTCTACACAGAGAAACTGAGAGCTTCTTGTGTTACAGCCGATATGTCGCAGACTTGACGCCACCCAGCAGATACAGCGAGAATGCGAAGCGCGTCTAATCTTTATTTGAAGGTGAACAGGCAGCAGTGATTATTTGGTGCAAGGTCACACATCTGGGTCTGTGGCTCTTCAAGATGTCTGCCCTTGAATCTACACATTGGGTGTTATAATGTTCTGTCATTATGACAACCTCACATCCTGGCAAAGTGTGTCAGCTGCGGTTTTTTTTTTAATTCTACTTGTTCATAACTGAATCCGAGGGTTTGTTGTTTTTGGACATTGCTGGAAATCTTCTGCTGCTGGGAACTAATGCTGACTCTTATCTCTGGCTCAGGGCTGTGAGTGATCCACAGGTATGCCAAACATCCTGAGCATGTAAAGAGAAACCTCCTCTATGCCTCACTTTCCTTCACCTACACCCCCCCAAGCAACTGAGGAAGTCAAATATCATGGCGTCTCAGGTGCAGAGGAAGGCAGCCATAGATCTGTGGGAGTGCTGAAGTGCCCACACATCTGCATGACACATGACCTCTTTAACAGCCATAGGCGGTTGCACAGCCGGTTATTTACAGTAGTTTGATTGACCCCCCCTACTCTGCAGAATTTGTGAAGTTTATTGCTGGTGAACAAGATTGATGGAAGGGTTAATGATTTCAACTCTGATGTGCTCTCATATAGAACTCCAGCGTCTTGATTATAGGAGAAGAATGTCACCCTGTATGGATGGAATAAAATGACAGACTGTTGGAGATTTAAATTTCGATGTGGTGTCACAATTAAAAACGCAATGTTGACCTTGACGTTGATATGACGTTCACATTCATATGAAAAAGGTTGCTCTAGAGAAAGAGCTTATAGCACTTCATACTTGGCTGGTGGTCATCAGACCCTTTCCTGTCCACATGCATGCACACACATGCACACACACACTCTCTCTCTCGTCATTCACCTCCACCGACCCATGACGACACATAACATGTCCCAGGACACAGGAACACAGAGATGTTCCCACACACACTCACCTGGAGCACAGCTGTCGACCAGGGCCCCCAGGGCCCGGCCGGTCTGCCAGTCCCTGTGGAAGTTGGTGATGGGAAGCTCAGGCAGTTTGTTCTGGATCCAGCCCAGCAGCCTCTGCTTGGGCGTCTTCTGTCTGCCTTCCTCCGCCTCCTCATCCTCATCCCACATGGGCATGGAGATGGAGTAGTGCAGGATCAAGGTCCAGATCAGACCCAGGATCAGCTTCAGGTTCCCATCCACAATGGCTTTAGAGTCTGGAGTCCAGAGGAAGAGAGAGGGGGGACAGATGTGAAGTCATGTTGACACCTCTTTACCTTGCTATAACCATTTAAAACAATCATACACACAGAGTAGACAAACAGACCATGTTATTTAGAAAAGCTTCAGTCCGATAAAAAGAACGGAGGCTGGTGCATCGAAGGCTGGAGGGGATTTGAACATTTCCAGAGATGATTTAAAGATGCAGCTCTCCTACAAAATGGAAGATACTGCACGAGAAACGGCTGACCAGAGTCTGATCTTTGCTTCTCTGCTTCAGCCTCGAGCTTCAGAAGTAATGATCTGAGTGTTTGTTATCCGACATCTAACGTATGGCTACGTCTACAGGGAGGAGTGGGATGCATTCCTAGAGATCCTGGAGCATGGCCTGGTAACTTCAACCCCCCCAGCACTGACACCGCTCAAATAAAGCTTTTAAATGATTTTCATTTGAATACTACTCAACTGAATACAACTGACTTTTGTGTGTTTAATGTGGATAATTCACTATAGATTTAAACTCGTCCATGTTGCAGCAGAATGACTCAAACGGCAACGTGTTTGGTTGCTCCAACAGTCATGGCATTTGTCTGTGTTCAGACAGAGCACACAGGAGAAAGTGATGCAACCAGAAGCTAGCCTGGACACGAGGGGGGAGAACCACACACACACTTGATTGCTCAGGTCCATCATTGAGGAAGGGGTGGAGCACAGTGTTTGAGCTGATGGTGATAAGAACACAGTGAAGGAGGGAACGTTCTGCTTCTTGTAAGGACTTGAGGCCGATGAGGTGCTGATGGCTACGAAGGTCGTACGCCGGGCTTTCTGCGGGGAATCTCAAAAGTTAAAGCTCTAGGTTTGTAAATGTGTGAATCTCACTCCTGACAGCAGCTGTGTCCAGCTGGCTCTGTGAGTTCAGATGCTACTCTGATGAGGGCTGCAGATAGCATGAAAAACAGAAGAGAATGACGCTGAAAGACTACATAACAAACAACTGTGGACCTCAATATCATTTGTTTAGTTATTGTCGTCTAGACTGGAATAATTGTTGGTAGCAGCAGCTCAACTCCAACAACAATAAAAGCTCCTCTCCGGAGGGTTTTTTTCTTGGATGTTTTGCATGAGGGCTACAGTTGGGGGGCTGAATATTTAAGTGGGAGGGTCTGAGAGCTGTTTGTCCCAGGGCTGCAGAAAGAGGACAGGGTTGGGATGAATGGGGGTCGTGATGAATGGTGGTGGGGGGGGGGGGGGGGGGGGGGGGG